TACAGTAAATGTGAAAGCATTTGTGACAATTTGATGCAGCCTGTAGACTGACGTGACTCTGATAACGTAGTTATTTGAGAATAAATATGTTATTATTATTATTATTATTATAAGGATTTCCTGCCTAGTTTTCAAGCACTCTAATAATATCAGGTAAAGTTTTGTTGAACAACCAGCATGTGGGGAACACCAAATCAGTCTACGATGATAGTTTAAACATTACCGTACGACACTCACAGCCTTTAAATGGCAACAAAGAATGGCTTTTGAAATAATACTACCAGTCTAAGTGCACTATTATTAGCCTGCATTCATTTACCACTTTGTTGAAGGAATGTAATACATGAATGCCGTGCCGAGTAATGTTTGCTTGCATATGTATGGTTTTCATTGCGATGATTTTGTTTCGTGATTAATCCATAATGACCGCTTCTGTCCCTGAACCGCTAGACGATTTTTCAGTAAATAGATATAATATTGACATTACACAATTTTTTTCAAAGTGTTCATGCAGATAAAACCCGACGATCCGTAATCACTGACTGAAATAGTGAGTATCGTCACAGCATATTTTTACAACATTATCATAACTGTTACGTCCAAGTTTTGCTCCTTCCCGTTATTGAAGAACAGTATATCGATCTATTTGCAATTCACGAAACCAAAGTAACAAAAGAACCAAACTCCAAAGTTAGGTAATAATGTCTATTTCCAAATCAAAAATAGTCGATCAAAATGTCGTTCTAACAACAATAATTATTGTAGCTGGATTTTCTACCGTAGCAGTTCAATTCGATTACAATAGACGTATATCGAACGCACCTTCCCTTAGTCGAATATCAAAACACAATAATTCTAGGAGAAAGTGGTCTATTTATATAAAAGAAATGGAAATACAAACGTTTACCTGACAATTGTTACGTCTTCCAAGTCGAAATTACTCTGATGAGTATCCGAGTTCAAAAGACTGGGTGAAGCTAGTATACTGCGACGATATCAAATCCAAAAATGTGGCTGTAGCCATATTATATATCAAATTTAAACAACATGTGTACAGTTCAGAAGCAAACATAAAAACTTCAATATAAGTACAAAATATAGAAATAATAACAATATACAATGATAAAATCTCAAAATGGAATCAAATAGAGTACCAAAATGTCAACAGAAAGAGTCAGTCATATCATAACACAAATATATAAACATGGAGGGATTTTCCAAAAAGCAAAACATTCAAAAAGGATTCTACACCGGCCCGCAAATTCCGTCCATGCAAAAAGGCAGGCGTTTACTGACACTTTAATTTAGGGTTCCCTCTCATTCCCTAATCCACACCGAAATAACGAATAGGACTTACAGCAGTACGCCTACCCGTTTTCAATATGGATATAACCTATCTAGTTGGACCCTTCTAGGAGACACACCTTTCGTATGTCTCTTCTCGCTACCCCGTTCGCAGTAAGAACAATTACCGTTCTGACCTTTCCGTCCTTATCCGTCTCACAATCCTCTACTATTCCTAAGGGCCATTTTCCACGAGTAGTAATATCCGAGGCAACAATAACTACGTCTCCTTTCTGAAAATTGCGATGCTCTTTTAACCATTTTTGACGAGTTTGTAAGGAAGGCAAATACTCTTTTAACCGTGCTGGTGCCCTTAACTATCCAATAGTACTTGCGGATCGCAGCTAACACATGCGAAGTTCCCACATGTCCTTCTTCCTTGTGATAGTGTCTGATCATCAATTCGGTTACCCAATGTCGACTAGGCAAAATTACGGGATGTTTCGACGCACTCGGGAGTTCGGAGTACATTAGGCGGCCTCCGATGCATAGTAGCCCATCAATCATTATCGGTGCCAAACCTCTCAGACGTTTATTACTCACTTCTTTACGACTAACGTTGGATTCGTTAAGTAATTCTCCGTATACCTCCTTTTGAATAATCATTAGGACCTTCCGTTTGGCTGACTCAAGCTCCTTGACCTTTAAGTAACCTGTCGTAACAGAGCCTTCAATTCTCGGCGAGTGAAGTACTATCCAGAGGTGTATGAACCTTCTGAGCCACGCTACAGCCCTAACCACTTTCATCCATTCCGAGTAATAAGACAAGATAGGTGACGGAGTGTTTGTCGTGCTACTCAAGTTGACCGCAGCTTTTCTGAACTCGACTTGGTCCATAGTAGGTTCTGGGTAGTAAGTGGTGGTACTTGAGTCATT